CGTTCCCTGTTTATCCTTTCTGTGCCAGATGTCTTCATTTTCCAGCGGTAGTCTTCTACAGCTTTGAAGGATCCTGGTCTCCGTAGACGTTCTTTGGGCCCATACCACTTAACTTTGTTGCCTTTTTCTTAAACTTTTCCAGTTCTGCTGTATGTTGCTTGGAACAGGGGAGAAAACGTCAGAACCACATGTAATTCATGGTACACCTGGTCACTTACTGAGTGGCATTAACTTTTTGTCTTACTATTTCTTTCAGTGATCTGTGTATTATAGTCCAAATGCACCAGCCCACCTCACTGCTGATTAGTACTGACTTGAAGATCATAATTTTGTACTTGCACTGGAGATTGTTCTTTTTCTTTTGTGCATTACTTTACATTTTCCACAGTCACTTTATTGCATGCTTTTGTGTGGTACTTGTGCAGTTCTTTGTGGCTGGCCACCACCTCTTACTATCCAGAATGACTTAATACTTGAAGCAAACTTTATTTAACCCTCCTTCTCCCTCCTTCCTCCTACTCCTTGGAGGAGAAGAGATTTTTTTTTCACCTTTGTCCTAATGGAAAAAATGAAGAAACAAAGTTGCTTGGTAGAGGAGCTCTGGAAGGCTGCCTCTTCAGAAACTCTCTTATATGATTTGGCATGGCAATCAGGGCATGTGTAATAGGAGCAAGATCCTTTTGTATGCAGCATTAGGGCATGAAAGACATCTGGATGTGACTTTACATCGACCACAGCGTCCAGTATCTAAGACATCCTGGGATCAGGATACAAAAATAACACATTTATTTTAGCTTGTCATTGGTATGCATTTCTGAGACTCTGATTTTATGACTCTTATAGACCTAGAGGAGTTCACACACAATTTGAGATAGGCAGGAATGAAGGGGCTTTTATTTGGAAGCTATGCGGCTCTGCTGGGCTGAAAAGACTCAGTAGTTGGCTGCATAGCTGCCTTGCCAGAGCTGGCTCATGTGAGCTGTGAACACTTCATGGTGTCAACTGCGGGATAAAAGTGAAGGTTGTATTTACTTATTGGTTATTGGTATGTTGGTCAATACTGTCTTCCAATGTGTGAGGGTTTTTCCCTTGGATATCTGCCTATTCTTAATCTTTCTTTGGAAAACTTGTCTTTCTTATATGCGTTATATAAGAACTGATTATTCTGTTGCATATATTTCTTTCCACTCTGGTGAAGAAGTTTCATAAGGTTGTTGGCTTACAGACTTCATTGCCATATTAAGTTGTCTTAGAGAGGCCTGATCACTTAGAAAAACCTGTCAGGGCTAAATTTATTTTATTTTGAAAATCTCTGCTTGAAGTTGTTCATCAGACCAAGCTGTTGTTTAAATGTATGTACCTTTCCTTTTCATCTTCCAGTGATGGCACCTTTGCCATCATCATCACGTAGTGATGAAGTTAGGAAAGCTCTTGTGGTGGGGCTCCTGCCTGATTCATAAACTTAGTTTGAAGTGTGCAAGTAACTTCTTAAGGCTATGAAGGATCAACTTCAGGAAAAAACGTAAGAGGACGGATCTTAGGAACATTGTGTCTGGGGCTCTAAGTGTTTCTTGCTTAGAAAGAAAGACTTCTTTTCTTCTTTCTTGGGGACATGCAACATGTGAACATTTAACTTTGCACTTCTGCAGTTAAATGTTTGGGTTGTTTCACTTGAGTGAATTTTACTGTGTGTTCTTTAAAAACCTCGCTGACAGTTAAAAATTTAGCTTACAGTTGCATAGTGAAAAAATGTTTTTGAAAATAATTTATGTAGTTAAAGAAATCCATCTGTGAGATGCTACAAGTAACTTTAATACTTCTAAATAAATGTGGCAGGTGTACTGTTACTTGACTAGAGCTGCAAAACATGTCAAATTGGTTTTTAGCCCCTGTACTGTTTCTATTTAACAGTAGGTAAGTTTCTGAGGGAAAACTATGTAAATCTTGCTACAGTTATCAGATGAAATTCCTATTTGCAGTGCACCATGCTTTGCATCTTACATGCCTCCTTGAGAAGGTCTTCCAGATGTTCACTGCGAATAGAAGATACAGGTGGTTTTTTAACTGTTAGTTTCTTAACACACAAATTGGAAAGACAGATGAACAATGAAACATTTGTTGGACTGTTTTAAAATCTTAGAGCGATGCAGAAATTTTGCTTAATATTGCATGTTACTGTAGATGGTTTTTGCTGGCATGATGGAAATACTCTTGAAAAACTGAAGGATGACTAGCTGTGCCTCTTGGAAACTGTGAGCCTGATGAGCAAGTCCCCCCTTGCTTGGGACATCCTGCCTATTTCAAAATGTAAGACTTTAATTCTTACAGGTTGGGTGAAAGCATATGTTGTAAAATAAAACTTTGCTTATGTGAATTTAAGATTATAGAATATAGTGCTTGTTTAAACAAGTTGAAATTGCTTTAAAATGTATTGAAATTTATTATTTCTGTAAACAGATTAGTATTTTGAACGCTCCACTTGCTTATGGAGTCTGAGTTCCTGTAGCCCTGACCTAGAACATCTTCCCTTGCTTAGTGTGAGCATAGTTCCCTTGTAGTCTCGTCAGCCTGGAGCAGCTGGAAGTTCTAGCTGCTGAAGTTAAAATCAAAGAAATCTCTCCTCGGTTTGGACAAACCGACTTCTTGTGTCTCCTCGCAACTGAATTTGGTTTGATTTTTGTAGGAATATTTTAAAAACGTGTCTCTTAATGCACAGGCCATCGTCACTGAGCCTTTGGTTCAAAAATGTAAAGGGCCAGTGCTTTCCTCCCAAAATCTGTTTGTGAGCAAATGCCGTGTTCTTTTTGCCCTCATTCTTTGAAATAGTTTAATTGCCTTTAATGAGAATTTTCCAAAGCTTAGCCTGTCCAGCCATTAGTGTGAGATTCAACCTATTGCAGTAAGGTGTTGGATAAAAGGTCTCGGTAGAAGTGTGGGCCTTCTTTAATGCATGGATTCATTAAATCATCTCTGCCTGTACCTCTCTTTCCAGTGCATCATCAGTTAAAGTTATTGAACAGTACTTTTAAAAAGTAACCTAATCTTAAATATGCATTGAGTATTTTTGTCTTCAGATCTGCAGCACAATACCATGCAACTGTGCAAGCAGAAAGACTTAGATTGCTACAAGAACTTTTTTTGTGAAATTCTTTGCTTTTGAGTTTTTATTTGTACGTTCTGTGCAGAGGATAAACTTCTACAAGCATATCCTTTTGCCTGGTTCTGCTCTTTTTCAACTGATGTAGTTTTGTGGTTGTTAACACAAATGTTGGTGGCAGCACAAGAAAGAGGGAGGAATGGGGTTGAAATGACTGGCCCAGCATGGAGGAAGCGCACAACTGCTCCTTTTTTACTCAGTGCCGTTCCACATAAATTTCAAGTTTTATGGATCTCTAAGCTTATTTTGCAATGCTTTGTAATTTTATTATTTTGGCAGTTGTATAAGAGGTGAGGGGGTCAGGTAGTCTGTCTTGGGGAGAGAGCAAGTTCAGTACTTTCAGAATCATAGCATATATCCTCCTTTCTCCCCTTAAATGTTGAGAGCAGCCTCTTTTCAATTCTGTTAGGGATCTTTGTAATCTGTGCTTTCTGATCTTTGCTTTCTGTGCGTTTTTCTTCCCTATTACTTATTTTTTACAAGTAAAAAAGGATTAAGATGATATTTACAAATTGAAAAATATGTATTTAATAGTCTCAGGTTTTATCTTGTAAAACTCAAGGAAACATTAACTGTTGCTCAGAGTAGTCTAGTAAAGTGTCTCCTGCAGATACAGTGCTACCATGTTTGCCACCAGCTTTTCATATGGGCAATACGGTGAACTTAACTGAAGACCGGAAAACCTACTATTATTACTCATGCTTGCCAGGAGGAGAAATGCTAATGGAAAACTGCTCATGATTTCTGTGGGAAATGTTAGCTGATATACTTAAGACATGAAACTTCAGGGATGTTTTATTTGTCATATATTATGCAGCAGATTCCTACTTGCTTTACAGAGCCCTTGTGGTATGCCTTGGACTATGTCATTTTTTCCTGGGGATTTCGTGCTGGATTCTCCCCCCAGTGGTTTACTCTCGTGGGGGTGCCCTTTGCAGAGGTTGCTTGTGAAGGTTATGTCCTGTGTTTCCTTTTGTGGATGGTCTTCATAGAATCTTTTGTGTTGCCACTGTGTTGGCGCTTGGCCTGTGAAGTAGTTGTGACTGGAAATTGGGATTGCAAGAATGCCTATTTACAAAGCAGCAGCTTGGCTTGCGGAGCAGAAGGTGATAATTCTAAGCACGTTCACTTTCTGCTGTCCTTTCGTTGTGGTTCTTTCTTATTGCGCTTGTATCAGACACGAAGTTGTTTGTATCAGTATAAATCATCTTGTCTCCTAAATACAGGTGTATCTTTCTCCTCCCCTCTCCTTCAAATAAGTGCTATAGAGTTAAAAACTTTCAAGCTGATAGCGTTACGATTTGGACGTTTGGACCTCTAATCTGTATTCTTTCTCATGCTCAGGGTTTGCAAGTAACTTAGACTGCTGTGGACAACAGACTCATAGAAAACGAAATGAATCAAGTAAAAGGCTAGGGTTTAAAGACATGGATGGATGCAGACAGAGGAAAACAGTGCTGATGCGAATACCTTTTTTGCTGAGATTAGAAGGGTGTTGCTGATCAAGAAGGAGGTTTGCAGAATGCTAGGATAAATAAGGTGCAAAAGTTAGTGGTTTTTGGCTTTGTTTTCTTTTTTTAATTGGAAAGACCTTGAATTATTTTTACAGGATTCATCTCCCTTGGTTTTATTTCTGAATATAATGCAAATATTCTAGCTAAATTTGGAAACTGTTTAGGGGCTTCTTTCAGATTGTTTGCCGTTTTTGGGAAGAAAAGAGCCTGTGTTTCACCTGAACTGCTTACCTGGTATTATGAGAGTGTCTTTGCTGCCTAGAGACGATTTTTTCTAAGTGGATGAAAAAAGGTAGAGATGACAGTGTTAGTTTCTACTTTTGGACACTATGCCCCCTAAGCTGGAGTGTTTCATGGATGCTCTGTTTGGTGAGGTAATGTAGGGATAGCAAAGGAGGTACCTTTGGAAACCATTTTCTTTCCCCTTTTAGTAAGGGTGATGTTTTAGGTAACACCACGTACAGTAGCGACTTTTCTGACTTATTTTTTCTGTTCATCAAAGTTTGTCATTTATCACTTTTGACACTGGCTTTTTTGTGCATCTGTTTTCCTTTGTTTCCTGTTTTGGGGAACTTAATGTCATATTTTTACTCCGAGATACCACATGTTTGGATTCCCTAGAAAATGATAATCCTGTTTGCTCAGACTGTGTTCAGATTTATACCAAGAAACACAAATATATCTACAGTTTATGCTTACTGTTTCATCTGCTTACTTTGTATGTAAAGTTGGAAAATGGTAGTAACGAAGCAGGAGTGATGCTTTATTATTATTATTATTTTTTTTTTTATAGTGGCTTAACCCTGAGGAAATGCAAGCAAAATCATGGGTTGGGTAGCATGGTAATAGATGGAAGTGTAAAACCCTAAAATAAAAAATACCCTCCAAATCAAAAATCTAATTTGAAGCTGAACACCATTCAGTTCTGAAGCAGACTCCCACCATCAACTAGTAGTTATGTTTTCTTCATTAAATGTGGTAGTCAGTTGTTCTCATAATGTACTTTCACCATCTCCTGGCGTAATGACATGAGACTGTTATTTTGCACTTTGAATCGTTAAATTTGGCATTAGGTGTTCGGTTCAATCAGTGTATAGGATGTTGAAGTATCCCTGCTAACTAAAAAAAATCACGTCATAAGCATGCTGCTTAAGGGAATGTTGTGTACCTTGGAGGATATCTTTCAAACAACAGCTTAATTTCTTTCTGTTTCAGATTAAGGGAAGTTTCAGAGAAGCTGAACAAATATAATTTAAACAGGTAAGACATATCAGGCACTGTTGTAAGCCATCTAGGAAACTGTTTTTCTGATATCATCAAGAAGTAAAGGATTGCACTGTAGATACAGCCTTAGAAAGCCTCAATGCTAACACTAAACTTCAGAAATGCTTCAGATAAGACAGTATGTAAGGAAGAAAATGTTATGTTTTCAATCATAATGTAGTCTAGTATTAAACACTCACCCTATAGAACAGGTCCTTAATTTTGAAGTATAGTCCCTACTGTTTATTACTGACCAAATAAAATGAAAAAATTTCTGTCACCTTTTAAGATTTTGTTCTGCATTTTCTGTGATTAATGACTGAAAATATATCATAGTTGCTTCAACTAATGTACATTTTTAGTCATTCTTGAATGTTTCTATATCAGTAATCATCACTGCACATTGTTCCTTCCATATGCCACTTGTTTTTTGTTTTTTTTTTTCCCAGACTTTAAAAGTTTAAAAATGTTATACATGCTCACTTTTTGTTTTCAGCCACCCCCCTTTGAATGTATTGGAACAGGCTACTATTAAACAGTGTGTGGTGGGACCAAATCATGCTGCATTTCTTCTTGAGGTAAATTACTCAAAAATCTGTTGAGATAACAAAGTTGAAATCATACAGTTAAAGCTAATTCTTTTAACATCAAATTGATCAACATTCTTCAGCAACTGAAGACCTGTTTACTTGTTTGTGTGTATGTGATTTTTTTTTTTTTTTCCTGTAACTTTGTCTTGTATTTCAATTTTGGACATTTGGTTTTCTTGTTTTAAATATAGGATGGTAGAGTCTGCAGGATTGGTTTTTCAGTTCAGCCAGACAGATTGGAATTGGGTAAACCTGATAATAATGATGGGTAAGAAATACTTTTCTTTATATTAAATTATTATTTTGAACTGGATAAGCAGCTTGATGGTTTTTTGTTTTGTTTTAAGCTAGAACGCCTTTGAAATGGGTACTTGAAGTTGATATGCAGTGGTTACAGTGATGCAGCCAAAGAGCATAGCTTGACTGGTGTAGGAATAAATAGTAGATGTGGTTCTAAAAGAAGTGGTACAGGATCTCTTTAAATTAAAGAAACAATCAAACAAAAATCCCCCAAAACAACTTTAATGAAAGAAACTGGCTTATATTTTTAAGCCTCATGTAGAATCTGCTCTGAAAGTGGTCCCATCTGGAGGGGCTTGCTTTCTAGATCTATTATCTTCAGTCCAGGTAAGTCCTCCTTATTAGGACTACTAATCATATTTGGGTGTAAAACTTTTTAATACAAGTAGCGTACTTAGGCTCTGGTTTACAGATAGAACACCTGGCAATTACAATTTGTACATATCCGCTAACTGAAAACACTTAGTGCAGTGGCTATTTCAAATCACTAATTAGCTTAATATGCGTTTGAAACTATGTTATTATGGATTGCTCATGTAAGAAAGATCTGTTAGGCATGCTTTCCATTTTATTTTTTTCAGCATACATCTTAACATACAGTTAGATTAGTTTGCAATATTCCCCAAGGGTGTTGCTTAAGCTGGTATGTTACCAGACTAAGTCCCTGAGAATTTAGACCTGGGATTCCAGGTTTTGTTCTTAACCCATTTGGGATTGTTTTGTGACTGATTTACCATCTTTTACTTTCAGTTCAAAGTTGAGCAGTGGCTCAGGGGCAGGAAGGACATCCAGGCCAGGCAGGACTAGTGACTCCCCATGGTTTCTGTCTGGTTCTGAAACTCTGGGCAGACTGGCAGGCAACACCCTTGGGTAAGTTTTGATAGGATTGAGGCTGCAATCTGTTTGTTCCATATTTGAGTATATGTGTATACACATATATAAATTGTATGCAGTATGTGTAAGGGAACGTATAATTACAGCAGTTGTATAGGTAGGCTATAACAAAAACCTGATTAATTTTATTAAAATAACAGATATGCAAGTGACCCTTCAGTGCCTAGGATATGGAGCATTCTTCATACATTCTGGTACATGTGTGAAGAATAACTTGGTTTTGGCTGTGTTGACTTTTTTTGAATGTTTAGTTCCTCAGTTTTGAAATCCAGTTTTTTAGAGGGACACTATCAATTTAATAGAATAGTAGCATGAAGTAAAATGAGTGCATTAATACAGGAAAAAATCTTTACTATGTGTACTGACAGACTTTCATGTAGTCAGTTTTATTGTGCTCTCTTCTCCCTTGCCCCTAGTAATGAGTTGCTGTTTGTTAAGGTATTATACGTAGTAATAGGAAGGAAACATTTGGAAAAGGTTGTGACTCAGAACCTTTAAAATAGAAAAAGGAACATGAAAATACAGTATACAAACTCATTATATATTTTTTTTAATAATTAGCTTTAGAATTGATGGTGTCCCTTTATATAGCAATGTAACTTAATCTTCATTACATAATTGCAGTGGACTTTTCATTTAATGCTTTTGTAACACATTGAACAGAGCTGCTTCCTATGGTTACTAATTATACTAAGGAGATTCACTTTTAGAAACTGCAGTTTTGCATAAACGTTTTGTTAAGAGGGAAGAACTTAAGCTTTTTTTTTTTTTTTTCCCTTTCCTCCAGAAATGAATTTGTTTCCCTCACTAAATGAGCTGATTTCATCTGGAATTTAGTTGCATGAAAGATCTGCCTACCCACGCCCTAACTTCTTGTGAAGTCTTCATGCATCCTAGCCTAAATCATGTGGTGGACTGTAAAGGAAAACTGATGGTGTCATGCTTGAAAAATTAATTTGGAAAATGTAGGGTTTTTTCCCTCAGACTAGGCATGTGTTGATTTTTTTTTTTTTTCTTTTACCTGAGCATAATCAGTTAAAATTAACTGAAGCCATGTGCTTAGGAGACCAACCCTGAAGAATTTCTACTTTCTTCTCTTGCATAGTTCAGAAATGGATGATTGAGACTCACCAAACTAGTAGAGTAACAGAGGATACTAAAGGATATATTTAAAGGAAAGAAATACTTATTAATTTAAGTCCTAAAACACGCAAACTGCAGAGTGCTTAGATTAGATCACTGGATTTGGAAAATTGTTAGCATTTTAGTGGGCAGTGGATATATCTGGAAAACTAATAGGTCAGCAGAAATGAACAGAAAGAGTTCCCTTTCATACTAATACTTATTCTAGATTTAAACAGCTTTAGTGGAAATAATTGCGTCCTTAAGATTTTTCTTCATAACAGATCTATGCTCTCAAGCAGCTAACTTAGTGATCTGGCAGAGGGACTATAGCACTTCAAGTGAATTTAAGCCTGCTTGAGAGAAGTCTGAATGAAAAGAAAGATTTATGAACACTAGGGAAGTGCATTTCGTGAAGATAACTTTTTATCTATCAAGGTTGATCCGTAGATTTCAGAACTCTTAAAGGCATGTGTGTTTAACATTGCAAAGAGGTCAGGGAATGAAACATACCTCTTTTAGGAGAATTAAATGTGTCACTCTGGGTTTTTCTTAAAAGAACAACTTTAAACCACATCTTAATTAGATTGTTGTTACACTAAAAATAACGGTAGTGTGCTAACCCACTGGCTTTCCCCAAATTTGATGTAACTTGCAGTAGTACAATATACAGTTAGTGTATGTGAATTTAAAGAACACGGTCCTGTGATACCTTTTAATGCTCAAGTTAGGATATGCTTGTAATATTTTTTTAATTGTTATAAGAATATAAGTCTCTTAACTGTTAGATCTCTCAAGTCTGTCACTGATAGTTTATAATTTAAAATAGAAGAATGCATCAGTAATAAGTACTAAAACAGAACATGTAAG